TGAATTTGAATTTGTAACAATTTGAAATAGGTGCGAACACCATATGTGTAACAAACTAGTGGCATTGAATTATTTTATAATTATAAAAGTTAAACACATCGAGTATAACCAGAAATAGAGACGAAATGTCATTTAACTTGTTTGAAAACTATTCTGCCAAATCAAACTGCGCTCCGATTGGCCAGCCCGAATTCGAAACAATTGACGGATGTCAATTGTTTAGCTTGAGCTTAGCTTAATGGACGAAAATTGGAAAATTACATATTGAATTACCGATGAAATGTGATTCCGCTTGTTTTGTAATTAGATGTTTTTCCCACATCGCCGAATGGAACAGCACCTCATTGTTAGAGATATTATCTTTATTACAATAAATACAGAATAGTTTTGGAATATACGGAGACGTACACACAGGTCAGTTGTTGGCGCTGTGCTATTTCAGCTTCCTAATTTGTGATTTCAGCGCAAACGAGAGTTGATATTTAAAAGTGATATGAGGCCCATTGCCTGATGAATTGCCAGGGATGGATGGCCCTTATTTCTTCTCTATTTCTTGTTATATACTCGATGGTTAAACATATGAAGAAGCAGTTGAAGAATACCACAGTAATAAGTCGGTATACTCGTTTTAGACTCAAACGAGCATAGAGCTCCTGTTGTCCGGCGAAAAGCCGCCCGAGGAGGTCCCGAGCCGACCGCTCTTGGAGAATAGGATAAGCGAGGAGGAGAAGCAGTGGGCCGTCGCCGCGGCCAGGGCTGTGGTGGAGTTCGCCAGGTGCTGGATGCAGTTCGTGGTCGAGCGCTGCGACAAGGGGCGGGGACTGAGGCCCAGGTGCGTTGTTTCTACTTAGCAAACTATGGTTCGGTTTGTCGTAGCGGTTTGTACGTACGACTTTTTTGCGTACATTTGTGAACGTTTAATGGGAATAACTCTGGACAATGGTGATGGAAAACATGATGAAACCTGTACATCTAAAAAGGTTCACAATCTTTGGCAAACATGTTCAACAACAATTCCCGATCCACAACGAATCAGCGCGCTAAATCTCTTGTTTTTTTTAAAGACTCATGCTTAGCCTCTGCTAGCTAACCCTCTGGTTATAATACGTTTCGTACGTGCGACAGGGACGGGTGATTCGAAAACGGTCTGTCTTTCAGGTGGGCCAGCCAAGGCTTGGAATTCCTAATGCTGGCGTGCGACCCCTGCAACACCAAGCACCTCACGGACGCGGAATTCGAGGTAGGTGCCGCGGCCCGCCGGACCGACCGGCATCGCCGCAGAGTCTACGAGGCTTTCGCCCTCGGCCGCAGGAGCTGAAGAAGGAGATGGACAGCTGCATCTCGCACGTGATCGGCAGCCGGCCGGCGACGGCGCGCGCTGCGGACAACGCGCCCAACTCGCCCGTGCCGCCGCTGCGCGCGCGCGCGCGGCCCAAGCCGCTGCACGCGAAGGGCGACGCGCGCGCGCCCAGCCCGCTGCGCGCGCGCAGCGCCGTGCCGTCGCCGCCCACGCCGCCCTGCGAGCCCGACCCGCTGCTGAGCTTCGAGGGGCTGGAGCCGACCGGTGAGCCGACCCGCGCCTCGATGCTTTTTCGGTGTTTAGTTATTGTTGGACCCGAGTTGGACTTCGTAGCGCTAGAGCTCATTGGAAACAATAACAACTCAACGTAGCCCCGCGCTAGGGAAGCCCCGTGTCGCGGGTGCCATGGACACACGCATAGACAACCACAAGTTACACCCAAACTAACGAGAAAAATTACCGTAGACCATACGAACACTTCTGCCGACCCGGGAATCGAACTTGGGACCTCCGCGTGGCAATGGTAACCGTTCGACCGCGGAGGCAGTTCCAGCAGTCCAATCTGTCACAAAAATCAAATAATTTGATTAACCAGACTATTTTAAAGATGAAAAAGAAACTAAATGACTTGTTGCAAAAAAGATGTCATTGACCTGAATTGAATTAAAGTGGCAGTGGACAGGGCACATAGCTCGTAAAACTGACCTACGTATAATGTAACTAGTATAATGTCCTGCGGGATTCTCATGTGGGGTAAAGCGGCAGATATTCAAACCATATTTGTAATGCAAGAACAAGCGATTCGTTCTGTGTACCGTCTAGGCTCTCGGGTTTCTCTCAGAGAAAAGTTTAAGGAGACTGGTATCATGACTGTGGCATCACAGTACATTTACTCAACTATTTTATATGCCCGTAAAAATATACATAATTTCAATAAGAAAGAAGATATCCATAACATTAACCTTAGAGCTAAATCCAAACTCATGATACCACGATTTCGTTTAACCAAGATAAACAACTCTTTTATAGGGAACTGTATACGTTTTTACAATAAGATTCCGGAGCATATATTAAGTTTATCATTTCCTAAGTTTAAAAACTACATTAAAAATATTTTGATCGAAAAATCATATTACAAAATTCAAGACTACGTGTTAGATAAAGATGTATGGAAAGACGACATGGCTCCAGAATCCACACAAATTTGATTCAAAGTGTATTCCATAGCATTTAAGTTTATTTGAAAAGAGCAATCCCGAGAGTTTCTTGCTCGTTCTTCTCAGGGAGGTCAGCGTAGTGAACGAGCAGTAGCTTAAATGTGACGTTTCCAAGTGTAAATTTATTTTACCTATGGAATAAATAATCTTTGACTTTGACTTTGACTTTGACGGCCGTTGGGGCAGAAAGATACCATACGCCGAATAGATACTACTAGATGAAAGGTAAAGGTGAAGGATGCTCGTCGCGACAGCTTAATCTGAAAATCTTTGGGAGAGACTTATGTTCAACAGAGAACGTCTTTCGGCTAATATGATAATAACAATCATTGACTTGTGACTCGCCCTAGGTCACAACACCCGCATCTTAGAAGCGATAAAAAGCTTGGATGAGCAACGCGACATTAAACTGCGCGAGCTGAAGACGGTGGGCCGAGTACTCGAGTCCGTCGTCGCCAGCTACGAGCCCAAGCTGAGGCAGCTCAAGTTCAAGTGGCAGCGAGGGCTGAAGATCGGCGCGGGCACGTTCGGCAAGGTATTTGGGCGTGAATGGGCCATGGAATTTAGTCTTCCTCGTGTCAACTTTGTTTATTTACAAATATTACTTTTGCACAACAATGTCTATTCATTATACAAACATAATAGTACTTTTTTGTGTATACACAACGTGAGATACGAGCGTTTTAACGCTTCTCTGTCCAATACTCGAAATGTCCCAACCGTTGTTTTCGAACCTGGGGCATTTGCTCCCGAGAGCGTAAATCAGTTATTCTGCGAGAAGAAATTTGACAATTTGACATGTTGCCTGTTAACCGAGATAGCAATGGCTACAGCAGACCGGAGTATGCTGGAGTGGAAGGCGAGTACCAGCAGTCGCGTCGACCCGTTCCCGCAGGTGTACACGGTCGTGAACACCGAGAGCGGGCAGCTGCTGGCGATGAAGGAGATCAGCATCGCGGCCGGCGACCGGCGCGCGCTGCAGAAGGCCGCCAACGAGCTGCGCGTGCTGGAGGGCGTCATCCACCCGCACCTGGTGCGCTACTACGGCTGCGAGCTGCACCGCGAGGAGATGCTGCTGTTCATGGAGCTGTGCGTGGAGGGCTCGCTGGAGGCGCTGGTGGTGAACTCGGGCGCGCTGGCCGAGCCCACGGTGCGGCGCTACTCCAAGCAGCTGCTCAGCGCCGTGGGCGAGCTGCACGCGCGCAACATCGCGCACCGCGACATCAAGAGTCAGTCCCTTTATTTTCAAGTAGCAGTAAAATTTCCTTGGGAAAAAGTTTCTCACCAGTTTCTGCCGCCCAGCAGTAATGTCAGTATTACTGCATTCCGGTTTTCAAGAGAAGGGGTGCTGGTGAAATTACAGGCTCTTGGGAGTTGTCAGCTTTTGTCTCAGGGTAAATTTAAAGCTCTGAGTGGCACTGTAACGTATCGACAGGCGTGTAGCTTACCATCAGGCGCTTGACTAGACTTGTTTGTCCCGTCACTTGACGTTATATAAAAAAAAAATTGTCCGTCGTTTTTGAAGACTTTGTACAATGACAGTTCATTGAGCAAAAGTGTTGCCCGCTTGAAAGTTAGATTGCAGTCGATAAAACTATCTGAATGTTAGTCACGTTTATGCAATAAATAGCCCAACTTGTTTCATTTGAATCATCATCGGTCAATTAGTCGTCCAACAGTTGAGCCATGTGCATTGTCAATTACAGCTACTAGAACTACATATGTATATTAACATTACAAAGAGAAGACATTTTCAGTTTTTCATCTTAATCTCTTATAGAAGCCGCCAGTTCTTAATAAAATATATTTTAATAAAAATTTGTCGATACTAATAGGCCGGTTGTTAAAATAAAAATAATGAAGGCAATAATGCAATTAGTAATCATTAGAATGGTGTAAAAATTACAATTGAGACGTCCTTGACAAAATTTTACCGTCTTTCACAACCCATCGACAAAACTGGACAACAAGTACATAACTATTTAAAATTTTATGAAAACTGGCAACCCTGCAAATGTCATTTAACTCCGTTTTAAAAAAAAACAGACTATAAAAAAATACTGAAATAATAATGGAGAACCAATTATAGATCCTCATCGAAGTTGATTAAAGAGCATTAAATTATAACTATATAACTAGTAACTATACTATATACGTAACGACATATTCGCAACACTAATGTTAAAATGGTCAATACCAACCTGCTTGAACAATGTTGAAGTTAGAACTTAGACAAGAGTTATTGCATTCCGCCGAAATTCCGCTTTCCTTACAACGTTTGCAAGTCATGGTCACCTAGTTTCACTAGTTGCGTAAAATACCTCGTCATCGACGTTTAGAAATTCCCGAACGTTCCATTCTTATGTCACCGACTTACCATCGTACGCATTGAACGCTTCATCCTTCCGGATGCATTTTTTGGACAGAATTATTGACCTCCTTCTCACCATTCATTTAAAGTGAAATTATTATTAGAAAAGCATAACGTAACATACAATATAACTATAATGTCCACTAAACTTAAGTACGTCTTAAACCAATACTTGCAATTCAAAAGACGCTCTTAATACATTATGTTCAGAATATCTTATAAATTTAAACGTTGGGTTAAGCTTATATAGGCTTAATGTAAGTGGACATGAAAATTTAATCAAAAGCAGGAAGTATCTAAAGATACCATCTTATATAATGAAGATTAACGGATAGAGAATGCCTTCCAGCGTTCGGGGAATAATCCTGCAGGCAGGGAATTCAACTCCATAGCCGTTCGCCATATGAATGTGATAGCGTAACGCTTCACGCGGACCTTTAGAATATCTACAACATAGGAGTAGAATCCCAGCCTACGTCACCCGATGATGAAAAGGTGAAGGCGGAATTGAATTCTGCAATTCCATCGCACACTCCGTGTTATACTTGTAGAATATCGATAAGCAGACAACTTTACGACGGTGTTCAAAGCTTTGCAGCTTCGCCTCTACTAAATGCATATGGCAAACGATTGGAATATTCTACCGGCTGTATTTCCCGAAAGGTAGAATTTAAGTCTGTCCAAGACTAGAGTCAATAGGGATATAAGTGTAATGTAGGTGAGATTGTGACCAAGCGTCTGTCCATTTTATATTTTATTTTAAAAAGGCTAAATTGTCAAAAATAAACTTCACTTTGGCATATCTTGTGTTTAATGCTTTAGGTACCGTCTTATTTTTTTCTAGGTGGCAACATATTCTTAACAAACGAAGGCCACTGCCTCAAGCTAGGTGACTTCGGCTGCGCGGTGAAAATAAGGGCCAACACCACCGCCGCCGGAGAACTGCAAGGCTGTGTTGGGACGCAGGGTAGGTTTTACTCTTGACTTGTATATGATATAGATAGGAATAGTTCCTCAGGTCGGAAAAAGGTGTTCCAGGTACATAGATACTTGTATAAATGTAGCTACAAGGAGTGATATAGCGTTTTTTGAAACCACCAAATTTTAATTAATTACTTTTGTGTCTTTTATTTTTTATTTCATTACTGTTTAATTGATTATTTGATTAGGTATTTCACAGCTTTAATGTTTTATGTGTGTACTATAAAATAACCAATACTTTAGGTAAGTAAACATTCAATCATGCTTAGAATGAAATGTACGTAAAAGAACCTGAAGTTGCACCTACTCTATGGTCGGACTGAATCAATTGCGTTGCGTTCTCGCATTTATTCTAAAATATATTGTTTCAATGTCTTTATTCTTTGTGTCAACAATGTCTTTATTCCCGACTTCTAAAAATAAAAACATTGATAACTAGACATAAACTAAAACGTAAAATCATACTAGCAAAGTCCATGAACGGCTCTCCGTTGATTTTAATTATTATTGGGTTAGCTTTCGCCATCCTTCTTTGGTGGTTTTAAGAACTCTATATCACTCCTTGTAGCATATTTGTACATGTATCTATGTATGTGGAACACCTTTTTCCGACCTATGCTTATAACACAATGTCTACAAGTAAGATTAAAAGACAGGAGTTATAAATTTACTTTTGTAAAGATGTTGCTGAATAAAAATGTTTTGTAATTGCAGCATACATGGCGCCCGAAGTGTTCATGAAGTCGTCGGGCCACGGGCGCGCAGCCGACATCTGGTCGCTGGGCTGCGTCGTCGCGGAAATGGCATCAGGAAAGGTAACAATAGTTATTTGTTATGCAAGACTGCAAAGTTGTTGATTGACGCGAGTGCTTGTATTGAATCTTGCGCGTAGCGAGGTTTTCAAGCCACGACACTCAAAACAACAACTTTTTAACCGACTTCAAAAAAGGGAGGTGGTTCTCAATTCGTCTGTATGTTTTTTTTCTTTTTTTTTGTATGTATGTTACGCGATAACTCCGCCATTTGTGAACCGATTTTGATGATTCTTTTTTATTGGAAAGAGGGTACCTCGGAAGTGGTCCCATTTAAATTTGAAGGAAATATTCCACCTCTAAGGGTGGCAAACTAGGGGACGAATGACTTTTGCGATCGGCTTTTTTAACCGGAGGTTAGGTTATCACTTCACTATAGCGAGGATAATGGTAGATGAAAGAAAAACAGTCGAACTATAACAAACCATTCTTATTTTAATGAACAAAATTAGTTGTCGTTGTCAATTTAATGTCAACAGTAATAAGATTAAAACATACCAACGGATTTATATTACAAAAGTAATATACAACAAACGTAGTTGAACGTGTCATTATGTTTTTTTTTTTCATCGAAAGTAAAAGTTAGGTGCATCACAGTCGATCGTCAAGTTCGAATTTCAGAAACCTTTTCAAATGCGATAGGAAACTAACCGACCAAAAGCCTCCATGAGCAGGCAGATTGGATTTGAACGCCGTCGCGACACATTGTTTCTCATTATAATTTTCCTTATTGTCTATCGTATTTAATTAAAGGGTGTTTTTGGAGTAAGTTTGTTCTTTTTTTTTAAAGCTATTCCTGAACCTCCGTAACAGTACCATGCCGAACTAATTTTAATTTTAATTTTGCAATGGTACTTTGTAGTAATTTGCATAATAAATACATTCAGGAGAGTGTACGCGGAAATTTCACAATTTAGTCGCCGCTCCACCTCCGGTCGATAGAAAATTTAGAACGCTCCATCATTTTATGATATACCACCCATTCGCACGAATTCGGCTAAGCGCGTATCAATCTTTCATAAAAAATTAAGGAAAGAAACATCCATAACAATTTCCGGTGTGACATTTTTCAGCGGCCGTTCTCGGAGTACGACAGCAATTACCAGATCATGTTCGTGGTGGGCATGGGCGGGCGGCCGCAGATTCCCGAGTCGCTGTCCTCGGAGGGCCAGGACTTCTGCCTCTCGTGCCTCACGCACGAGCCCGACCAGCGCCCGAGGGCCGAGCAGCTCGGCTTGCACCACTTCCTCATGGTGGGCACTCCAAAACCGTTAATCGTTTCAACAGCACACTTAGAAGTGAACAAACTGACCGTGTCGTACACGGCACATGCACAATGACATTGTGATGTTATTTATTTACATGAATTGTGCAACTCTAAATACGCGTTAAAAACTACTACTTGTAATAACAACAGTAAAACTGACTAGTTGCTTTTGGCGCCCAAAACGATGGCTCTAATGCTCAGAACAGGATCATTCACGTTAATATTAAACATAACTGGTTAATGACCATATCCGTTAGCCGTGATCATAAAAAAAGTGTAAAGAGCTCGAAACGTAGATTTGTTTTATAAAACAAAAAATATACCCAATTTATTCTCTGAGATGAAATCCAAGTCCCAAAATGCAACAAAAGTGGTGCCATTACAAAAAAAAATAAGAATAGTGGAAAAGTGAAAAGATGTAAAAATTAATTCAAAATGTTTTATATTGTTCTTAAATTGTGTGCATGCACAAACAGAATATTATCACATCATAGTTTTTATTTAAAACGCTCTATTTCATGAGATTAACGTCAAAAAACTGTTTCCAGCGGAAAGGTTGTTTATATTATTGGCAATTTTTCTGGGATACGCAACCTTTCCCTGGCCTTGGTTCTTTTTATTAGGCATATAAATACAAATAATTTTAAGCAGACACGTTATATAATTTATTGCTTTAATACTATTACTTTAATATTTTATTAAATACATTATTTTGTACTGCTTAAACACATTTGTCAAATAAATTTAAGAATGCTGTTGAAACTTTCATTGAGTAAAATAAAATAAAATAAAAATACTATGTTGATACATTATTAAATTGTGTTAAATTACAATTAATTATAAAAAGAATAAACAGTTTTTAATCGATAGGTCAGATCGTCGGTTTTGCATATTTTACCATAATAGCTTTAATGTGAACCGTCTATATTCCAGTTGAAAGCCGACGACGACTGCGACTGCCAGCCAGCGTTTCTTATAACATAACTACACGGCAACTACCTCCGGATCAAACCAAATACGTATTGTTAAAGCGAGTCATATTTATTTATCGGTCTGCATACAGCACTGTGGGCTATAACCTAAAATCTCTACTTGGGACGTGGACAAAGGAGGAAAATTGCCGCTTGACATTTGTCAGACGCAGTTGCGGCATGTAGCATAGCTGCGATCTGCACGAAGGCGCTGCTACTTGTCTATTAAATTTCGTTTACTTATGCAACTAATTCTTCCGTCCCAAAACGGCTCGACTCTGCGGAATATTCGAAAGTGGACTTTAAGTGCAATTTAGAACATGAAATAAGTCACGGCGTGTGGTCGCCGCGCTGCCCGCTTGTATATTTTTGTACTGTTAAGTATTACTATAAGGAACTATCATTAAAATCTCAATAGTGCCCATATTAGTAAACATTTCTTAAAGTGATTGTATATACCGACTAATTAGTCACTCGGAGCTCTGCTAGTATTGTAAAAAACTCGCGACTCTAGACAAGACTCGAGTATTACGAGCTTATCAAGTTTCCGAATAGAATCGTGCTCGAGTCCATTGTGTCTAATAAACTACTTACTGAGCGGTGTTATAGTTGTTCAGTAACTTGAACCCTTCTTTGGTTTTTGGAAGTTTACAACACCAGTTCGTGCTCCGATGATTCGTGTTCGACTCGGCTCAGGGGGTCTACTCTTGATCTCCGCCCGACATCCGTCCGAAACAATTACTGTCAAATAAGTAATATTCAACAAAATAAAAAGACAAATATCAGGTATGAAGCTTCATTCGCATCACGCGTCTTTTCATTTGATCAAGTATTACTTATTTAGCAGTAATTATCTCGGACGGAGATCGAGACTAGACCCCTTGGACTCGTTTTTGAGTCGCGCAAACTTGAAACGACTTTGTAAATGTCGACTCCCGGAGTCGAGTTACTTGCAACTCTAAGCACTGCTCTGTTAATGGATTATAATAAACGGTATCTTTGATGGTACCATCTGTATTGACCCAGCTTAAGTGTTGAGTGACGATAATTTTGACAACTCGCAATTGGTACGTAATCCTGTATATACATTCAAGTGATTTCATTCATATACATTGTTGTTATTATTATTTCCTTAACGGCGGCCACTAGGCTTGGTTGAGCAAGTGTCAGTTTCGAAGAATGCAGTCAGTGTTGTTTATTTCTTGTTAAAAAGTCGTATTTTTATTAGAACTAGCAAAATGACAAAAGACAAACAGAATCAGTCGAAAAGCAATGTTAAAGATTTTCACTATTTTTTATTATCTATAATTTGTTTGTTACTGAGTGAATCAATGAAGTCGATCCTTTAAGACGACGCTGCTTATTTTTAAGTCAAAAGCTAGCAACGTCTTTAACGTCAGTTTGCGATCTCTAAAAATCCGACCTTATGTAACATCATAATATACATAGATTCTACACTTGAGATCGATTTATTCCTAGATCTTTAAATGAGCGAAAACTATTATATAAATAAATGTAAATATTTTACAATACAGGGTGCACAGAACGTGTACCGTGAAATTTAAACACGTACTTTACTCGTGTTATTTTTCTATAGCAATCAAATACTGGAAACTGAGAAATTGAAGGTCACATACAAAATATACTTCAGTCTTAATTTGTGTCGTAGTGATGAAGGGCAGGCGCTGAATGTGACCACATTAATAACGATTTCTTTACGTAAATAGTTCAGATTTTTTGGTGATAGGCGACACGCCTGTCCGTAACAGTTGCAGTGCCACTCAGAATTTTAAACCACAAAGATCGGAAGGGCCCTGTCACTGCGCCCGTCGCCCTGAGCCATGACTTGACATGTCCCAAGTGCCTGTAATTTCACCAGCACCCCTTCAAAACCGAAACGCTATGATGCTCACATTTCTGCTTGGCGGCTGAAATAGATTACGTGATAGTACTTCCCTAACCGAGCTCTTTCAAAAGGAACTCTACTGATAATAGAATGTCGAGCGGTAAGTGTTTGAAATTTTCGGTACACTGTCTGTTTCACCCAATATTATTTTTTTCAATTATGCACTTTCCAAACATCCCGAGATGTTATGCGTAGTTTGCGTGACTTTAGGGGCCTGTTTTCCAAGTGCATTTAGTGTAGACAAAGGTGGCTAAAGAAATATATAGTTCGGAAGCACAGTGAATGCACGACGTTTTATATTTTAAACATTGATGTTAATGAAGTTTTTCTAATACACATTCAAGGTCGATGGTAAAAGATGATGAGTATATAAATATATATATGATACATAATATTTATTTATTTTATTTATCAGATTTTATTCTTTAAATTTATAATTGCTATTGTTATTTTAACGTTATAATTTCAACTATATATTATGTTAACCATCTCTAGTCGAAATACGTCAAAACGCCTATTTGGTGTCTCACTTCACCTCAAGAAGAAATTACCGGTTAATTTTTATTTTTACTTTACCGTGACAAAATTGCTAGGCGTTTTCTACAATACTCGTGGCATTTAAATGTGGTATATGTACGGACCGAGATTATTATTATATAAAATTTACAGCGGTGTAATAATAGCTTTTCGTGACTAAATTAACCCGCTTTCTTAGACGACTTGGTTTTAATCCCGATCAATCAAAATTCTCGTTTATTTTTTCAAATTTCAACTTATTTTCATGAACTTTAAAAGCCATTTCCCTAAAGTTGACTTTTTCGTTTAGTGAGAGTTTTGATTTCCAAGTGCATATAGAAACCCTTCGCAGTATAATTAGATAGTTACGAGATATCGGCGTCTTGTATTACACGTTGATGTGCATAAACTTTCTAGTTTATTAAAAATTGCAAATTGTATAGCGATTTATGTAAATTTGTTTTATTGAAGTGCCATTCAAAAAATATATATTTGTATTTAATGAAATCAATGCAATCAATTTTATTGTTTTATTCATATTGAAATGTATAGGTAAGCATGTTTTATTGTTAAATAAATCATTTTAGATTTTTAAACAAATATGCATCTGTTAAAATGTTAAATAAAATGGAATTTTGTAATATGATTACATGGTTTGGGGTGTCGATTCTGTCGCGTGACATTTTCAATTGATGAGTTCAAGTACCTTTATGGCCCAGCTACATGGTCGACCTTCGCCGTGAGTAAACAAGAGACGTTTAAGAGAAAACCGCAGTGCAACGTGTGTCTTCATTAGACAGCAAACGCGAAGTCAACTTGAGGTAAAGCTTGACCGTGTAGACGGGCCCTTAAAGTTCCGAAATGAGTATAAGCTACGAAATCGCGTCTGGTTTGTGAATTCGTCCACCTATGATAGAAGCCTCGTTAGACTTATTACTTGAATAGAATATCCTACTTAAATAATTGTTACTTTATTCTATGGCTATAAAATGTGGGCATTGATCTTAAATTCTAATTCAATTATTGTTCTGTATTCTTACTAGAGTTGTTGACAAGTGTTTACTGGTAGATGAACATATCTTGTTTGTTGATCAGTGCGACTGGTTATTTTAATCCACCTAAAGTTTCCACATTTTAAACTTCAGTAGTGTTTTATATTACGTGCTGTTCATACGTATCACTGTTAAAGGTAATAATTTTAATAAATTATTACATTGGAGCTCAAGTTTCTCTGATCCTACAGACGATGACACTTCTCATTTTATGGGCTTAGAATTTGGTATCAATGCTTAGTAATAGTTTTATTTTTAGGTGAAATTGTTATATTATCGGAGACATACATTTGTCCAACGGTATAGTCATTATTTTTTTTTTATAAAACGAAGTTATAGAGGAATATATTTTATCATTTTGATATGAATTAAAGAGGACGCGGTTGCAAATTAAATCAATTTAAAACGGTTCTCGTGTTTCATTTACATTACAAATTCAACCGCTTTTTGTAATGTTTAGCGCGCGTGCACACACGCACACACGTTCACATAGAGTTTGAGAAAAGTAGAGTTCTTCGAAGCCCTGACGTCTAAAAAAAATACGACGTCGTGATATGTTAAATATATAGGGCGCACTATAAGTTCCCGGATCTGGCCACTTATATAAACAATATTTAAAAAGTAATTACAACGTTTGAAAATGGAACTCTTTGGCTGTAGAATACAGTTTGTTTCATCTAACTGTCACTTGTTTGTACATTGTGGCGTCATTTTAGAAATTGGTTGTCTACATCACCATGGATTTAACTCGTAGTATGATTTTCTATGACGTGTAATTTAACAGCTCCGCGGAGCTTCGCTCAGCTTCAAACTGCTTTTGGCGATGAAGCACCATGCAAGACTATTTATAGCTGATTTGCAGAATTCAAACGCGGTCGTGTGAACATCAGTTACTTCGTGAATTTCGTGATGGTCGCCCGTCTACTGCTGTGAACAACAAAAACATCGATGCTGTGCGCCGTATGATCAAAACAGACCGGCATGTGATATACCATGAGATTCGGGCATCTTTAGGCATAGGCATGAGTCAAATACAATCAATACTACACAAACATTTGGGTGTGAAAAAGCTGTGCTCTCGGTGGATCCCATACAATTTGACTGAGGCTCAAAAAACAGATCGCGTCACTTGGTGCAATGCCATGTTTACCATATTCAACGAAGGGGCGTCAAATTTGGTGTGGAATATAGTAACAGGTGACGAAGCATGGATTTATAGTTACGATCCCAAAACAAAGCAGTAATCGAGCGTATGGGTCTTTCGAGATGAACCGAAAATAACTAATGTGGCGCGCGTGCAAAGTGCTTCTAAGCGGATGATTACTTCTTTTTTAAATAAAACTGGACTCGTTTAGCCAGTAGCCACTGTTGTTTTGGAGAATCGTTGTACTCTGAATAGTGATTGGTACACGACCATTTGTTTGCCGGAAGTTATTTACAAGCTCCGTAAACGCCGTAACATCTTGCACCACGATAATGCCAGTTCTCACACGGCCAGACAGACAAATGAATTTTTGAAAGTGAACAACGTTGACCTTATGATCCATCCCGCGTACAGTCCCGACCTGGTACCTTGTGACTTTTATTTATTTCCAAAAATTTAGAACCAGTTACGCGGTCAACCATTTTCATCACCTGAAGAGGCTGTCGAAGAGTATGAAAAATATGTTTCTGAGATTGTCACGGAGGAGTGGCATAAATGTTTTTAAAATTGGTTTCATTCGTATGAAAAAGTGCATTAACGCTAACGGAGAATGTTTTGAAAAACAATAAATTCATTTCTGACCTTTTATAGTATTTTTTTCGTATAAATTCCGGAACTTATAGTTCACCCCACGTACTTATAATATGGGCTATTAAATTATGATACTACCTACGTGAAAATAAATATGTGTAACTTCAAAATAAAGGAGCGACTACTTCCTGAATTTTGCAACGAGAACCAAGTAATTCACTTTTCTATAGTCTAAATAATAGTGCCGGAAAACTAGCCCAGTGTGGATAGTAAAACAACCTAATTCGACTAAGGGAGTCTCCACACTTCGTTTGGCGGTACGAGCGGAAGCGACCCGCGTGTATTTCTTATTGCATGGACATAAAGCTAGCCGGCTCAGTGTGGAGACTCCCTTAGTCTACTTTTTTGTGACTAGAGCTGACTGTCAGGACTAAGTGATGAAAAAAGTTAATAGATTTCTCACAGATGGCACTACGGCAAAAAAGCCGTTAAAAGCAAAGAGCACAGAGAAATTCGTAACGTCTACTAACTCGTATCATACCTCAGTTGGGAGAGCGATAGCAGCGGTTTGGCGAAAGTTACTGGTCCGTTTCGTCCCATCAGGGGGTCGATTCAGAACCGTACGATAACTACGTTGTCGACCGATTGGATTTGTTATCGTACGATTTCTTTTCATTTAATTCACAATAACTGAATCGAACGTCAAGCTGTCGTATTCGAAACCGAACCGAAATTACGTCACACCCGTACGATTACTAGAACTTCTCGACCGGCAAAGGCTGCAAACGTTATTCAAAGCACGGTTATCGAATGAAAATTACCGAACGCCCTATTGTTTACAAAGCAAGAATGTAATATGGAAATCTTTTATTATTTTAAATAAACTCCGGATTTTGTTCAATTTTATTAAATTATTTTAATGTAATACTAATGCATTCCTATATTTTAGGTTTTTAAAGTCTTAAAAATGTATATAAAAGAATTTTCATTTTTCCTGTAATCTATTGCACCGACTAACTCCGTAAACGCTGTTGGATAACGATATCGTATCCTAATCCGAAACGAACGTCTAGCTCGAATGTTCGATTCGAGTGCGATATCTAACCGAACGATTCGGTTAAAATATCGAAGAGTTCTGGATCGAAAGAAACCTTTCTTTGTGTTTTTTGATACTAAGATCGTTAGTATCAATAATAACAGAAAAAATTTGGAATAACAATTATTAAATTTACACGGACGTTACTTACTTCTGTTATGGTAAATATACTTGGTGTACACTCCGCATATTAGCCTGGTGCAGCAAACGAACAGCTACATGTGAAGACTGGAAATCAACAATGCTGAGTCTTTAACCATTTTGTCCACATTATACAACTGTATTTTCTATTAATGTTTAGGTATTGTCATTCCTATCGACTCATCCGTAGAACAAAGGTCTATGTGCAAGACTTAGTTCTCAGGACATAGTACATTTCGTTCGTTCTTCTTCGTTGTGGATGTTAGATCGACTGTTGTTTGATTTTATATTTCCGAAACGAAATAATGTATATAAATTCTCAAAACACCTTTAAATAGGCCTTAGTTTGAATAATGAAATTATTCTCGTAATGTACCTATTCTCTTTTCGCTATATAATCACAACCGACTGTGTTCTTCGGATGAGTCGCTATGTTGTGTGAAAAAATAATATTTTTTTTATAATTGGAGATGAATGAAAACACGTTCAAAGCTTTTTCCAATTACCTTTTTATTGAGAGCAACATTGAATTGACATAGAGACATCGCTTACAGCTAGTGATATGTATATGTATGCATTGCGTCCCTGTCTACTAATCATTCTAGAACATTTAATTTAATCTTTATGTAACATTGTAAATTAATAAGGTAACATTATACTTAAACAAAATGATCACAGTTCGTAAACAACACATAGAATCATAAAACCAGGTGTATAAACTATAGTTTGTAAAAATAGATAACGGAATGGTCGAAATATTTTCAAACTATCCATAAAGCTTATAAGCTTTGTCGTTCATAGCAAACACTGGACATCAATTACTTTAATAATAATATTTTTCAGGGCTCGTGGCAATAATTATCAATTGATAATTTATCATGTTAATTAACAGTATTTCATCAACAGCAACTGATTCAAAAAAGCAGATTGAGATACTCATTACTTACACGCAGTTCTATCCAGTGAGGACAAGCATGATTTCCCACATATTTACTTAATTTAACTGATTTATTCATTGAAGGCTGATTATAATTTTATAATTCATTGATGATCAATAATTATCATGACAGTTATCATCAGACTATATATTTTGATAATTTCGAACCCCGATATTAACTGATTTCGACTAAAATTATCTAAAACAGTAATTATTTTACCCGCCTACGGACATTAACACATGTGACGCAATACGAGAAAAGGTTCCGTTCAAACGGAAGAACACTCATTTACTTCATAGACTCATCTCACTTGAGAACCCTTTAACACAATTTACATCGCCGCGGAACGGAAAGGGTTTGAATTGTATCGAAATAGTACATAACATATTGAACTTTATGTTAGATGTGTAAACATACAAATTAAATACAAGCCAAAAAACTCCCGAAGCTACCGTCTCGTTATCTAGTTTGTACTACATTACATTATGTATAATTTCGTTACAAAACTTTGCTTCCATTGATTTCCGCAGCTATGTAAATTGACATTCCTCTTAAATTTT